GTAGAGCCTACATGGGTTCCATCCTACGGACCTGAAATCATGACCTGAGTTGAAACCAAGAGTTGTCCATGCATGGAGGACATTAGGAGAAGAAAGGGAAAAATGAATGGGGAGAAATCAGAGGGGGAGACGAACCATGAGAGACTATGGACTCTGAGAAACAAACTGAGGGTTCTAGAGGGGAGGGGGGTGGGGGGATTGGTTAGCCTGGTGATGGGTATTAAAGAGGGCACGTTCTGCATGGAGCACTGGGTGTTATGCACAAACAGTGAATCATGGAACACTTCATCTAAAACTAATGATGTAATGTATGGTGACTAACGTAACATAATAAAATTAAAAAATATATATTCAAAAAAAAAAAAAAAGAAACCAAGAGTCAGATGCTCAACCACTGAGCCACCCAGATGCCACTATGCTTAATGATTTTTAAAAGGCATGTTGGTGTGAATAATGAGCAAGGGCTCTAAGACTGTTTTTGCAGACTTCTGAGCCCAAAATCAGCGAGGATAATGAGACTGGTTACATTGTAAATGTGGAAGGCAAAAAGCTAAGCATGTGCTATCAAGCTCTTGCTAACTATGTGTGTGTAAGTGCATATGCGTGAATGAATGTGTATTTGAGTGTGCACGGGTGTATGAACGTGTGTGTGTGTGTGTGTGTGTATCTGACTGTGAGCATGTGGGAGTGTTTGTGCATATGTAAGTGTCTCACCCACTAGGCTAGGAGGGTGATTGGGCACACGGCCTCTGTGCACTCACGAGGCAGCATATATGACAACAGTGTCAGTGCAGATTATAATGGGGTTCTCTAGTTTGTGTTTCAAGTAGCATTTTACAAAGCTTGGCTCATATATTGAGCTGGCCATCCATAAAGTGTAATTTTCAAAGCTCTTAAAAAATTTGATAATAAGGGTTATTGGTGGAAACTATTTAAGACCCTAATTTCAGAAGTTCATCTACTATACAAGCTCATTACACTCAGACAGAGGAATGGGGTGCTCTTTATTGTTATCAGACCTTAAATGGTCAGTGACAGTTCAGGGATCCTGTGCATATTGGCACCATGTCTTTCATGTCAGTGTAAAATGTCATACCTATAAGTCAGCAACTGCAAAATAGACTCAGAAGATGAGGGTCGGGGTCTCACAGTCTCTTTTTGGCTGGACAAATTAGATGAAGTCCCACTGGATATGCTCAAAGGCCAGAGAGAGTCTTTGGTTGTGTTTTTTCAACTATTATATCCTTAGGGTAGTATTGATGAGATCCAGAGGACTTGGAAATAAGACATATGGTGAAAAGATGCAAATTAAGAAGTTATCTAAAATACACTGGTCACCTCGCTTTGTACTGGGCACGAAATCCCACCTTTATATACATCATCTGGTTTAATACTTAGTCTCCCTAGGAAGGAGCAAACTGAGCCCCCCAAGAAATTACATCGTTGGCTCAAATAGATGCAGCTGAGAAGGGTCAGCACTGGAAGGCAGATCCAGTTCTCTGTGACTCCCCAGTAGTGCTCTTTTCTGCCCTGCTGCCTCGTTCTGTCCTGCTCTCCGCCCATGCTGGACAGATAGAGCATTCTCCATGAGAGCTCCAGCAATTCGGGGAGGTAATGGATGACTTTATGAAGGACATTTATTTTGCACTGAAAGCCTCTGCCTTTAGACAGCATTTGGAGACCAATGATGGGACCACGGCACTTTTAAAAGGAGGACTCACTGCCCTAAGACTGAGGGGGCAGCGCCCTTGTGGCTCCTTTCTGAGGCCTACTCCTCCATTCCTAAACCGTGAGTGCTCAGTAAGGGCTTACCAGGGCTTCTTCCAAATTGTCTGAAACCCTTTGATCTACTTTTCTATCATTTCTTCTTGACAAATAATATTCATCGTAGGTTCAAGGCCCATCTCCTCCAGGAAAGAGGTCCTGGCTAAGCCCTCTGAGCTTGGTTTGCTTCCCCTTTTATCATTTCCAGTATATTATCACGTACTTGATGTGCCCACTGATTGTGCATGGCAGGCCCAGCATTAGTTGATTTCATCTCCACGATACTCGTGCATTCCTTCATCACGTATTCATTAAGTGTCTACTATGTTTCAAGAACTGTCTTATGCTACAGGGATATATAGCTGGCAATGACAGGTTTGTTCTCATGGAGTTTATAAGAGAGATAGAGGTTCACCAAATAATTCCAGAAATATATAAATACAAGTTGAGGTGAGTGCTTTAAAGGAAAGAAATATGGTGTCATGAAAGAAGATAACAGAGGAATTGCACCCAGATTGGGGGTATCAGGAAAGGATGTACAGAGGAAGTGAACTCTGAGTTGAGATCTGTGGAGGTCAGTAGAAAGGTCTGGATTGTTAGCTGTTGGCAGAAAAGCTTTCCCTGTTCCTGAGCAGATACATAATGGATGCTTGGTGAAGCAATGATTCAGCCGCTCTGAGTTACAGCTATTGGCTCTGCCAGTTGGGTCTTCTTTGCCCTCAAGTTTACACTCGAAACATTCCCTGTGCTCTCACTGCATGTGTCCTCTGCCCTGAGGACAATACCGCGTGCTCCCCTGGGTGAGAATGTAGGTGGATAAGAATGATATTTTGTTAAAAGGAATTTTTTTCTACCTTACAGTATGAGGATAAAAGGATAATTCACAAAGTGCCAGTTCATTCAAGGAATTATACTAAATCCCCAAAGCATTGTATTACACATTCTAAATCAGGTGCCTGGCTTTTTAAATTGGGAACATACAATCTCTTGGCAAAAAAAAAAAAAAAAAAAAAGAAGAAGAAGAAAAAAGGAAAAAGTATGATTTATCATTCCAATCTTGCAGTCTATGTAACACAGGCATTTCACTCCTGGGAATGAATAGTCCTGTTTGCCTCAGAGCAGACTGTAAACGTTTGATTTGTGACCAGACAACTTGACCTTTAATGACCTGCAACTGTCTAAAGTAAGCGCAAAAATTTATGACCACCACCAGGCAGCTAGACGTCATTCCTCAGTACCCTAATAACATCCTGTATTTCTCTGGAATTGTTCCTTTCATATGCTGACTTCAGAATAACTTTCTGGTATAAAATGGTGGGACTGACACACTGGGAAATTGTTCCAGTTTAAATTTTAGCTATCCAAATGACGGTCTCAGGAAGGACATGACAAACCATATTCACTGCAATGTGAACAGGTATCACCCTTGTCTTCATCAGCGGAGAGCTGATTGTGGACAGTCAGCTGAAGGCAAGGCAGCCCCCAGCAATGACTCCCAGGCAGGCTCCAACCCCTAGGGCCGGTTCTAGCTCTGATAGAACAGAGCTTCCCTAGGTAAATGCCGTCACCTCCTCCTGCAGTGATGCCAGACTGTTCGGGTCTGTTTATAGCTCCAGCCAGTGAGTTCAGCATGGTGATTCTTACGCAGTGATGGAGAAAACTCAGATTATAAGAGCCTACTTGTCTGAACAAATCCCAGACGCCAGGACTCAGGCCCTAAACTCTGCTCTGGAAAGGCCCAAGAATCACTTGGAAGAAGATGACAAATGAATACTGAAACCAAGCTGACCTTGGGTACAAGCCAGACTCTGTCAGGATACACACATCGGCTATGAAGTCTTGCTGGATGAGGGGCAGCCACGCTGCTGGGCTTGACCTCATGGCACATGGAACCTGGGAAGGGGGGGCTAGTTGGAGACATTTTGGTAGCTCTTTCCTTTTATGGGGCTTTGGGTAAAGTGAAAGAGGAGAGGCAGATTTCACTGAAGTGGGAAACCACATTCAGGCAAGCGGGAGAGGGACCATGCCTGGGAAATGGCACAGTCTGAGGAGGAGAAGCCCAAAGAGCTTCAGGGTTGAGAGAAAACACCTTCCAGAAGCCATGTGAAGGCAGTGATTGGCAACTGGTAACTTGGCCTCCATGATATTCAGACAAGTGGAGTCTACCTCAAAATGGAGGCTATATCCCTAATGCTCTGGCCTTTCAATAGTTTTCAGTGCTACTTTAGCTCTCTGTTCTCTTCAGAAGAGGAAAGAACTTATCTCTGAGGGAACATCTGACTAGAAAAGCAGCCCCTTCTTTCCTGCTCCAGGGCTAAAAAACACGAAACCCTCATGTTTTGGGGTCATGCATGGAGGAAAGGAATAAAGCATTTTCTCTGAGATAGGCCAGTGAACACCACATTATAAAAATTGTAATAACTATCAGTTACTGAGTGTTTATGATGACGAGGAACTGTGCTATATGCTTAATGACCATTACTCATTTCATCCTCAAAAATACCTCAGGGTGAAGAGGTCATTGTTATTATTTTATAAGTAAGGAAATCAGAGCAATGAAATGTTTACACATTGCTTAAGGTCACACAAGTAGCATGTGAACTCAGGGCTGACTCCAGTTTCACTATCCCTGAAACAGGAACAACCTAAACTGTGTTTGGATTGCTCAAGGGTCCCAAAGCTCACCTTATCCTCCCCTGTGTTTCAGGTACCATGAAGTGGGATGGATCCTGAAACAAAAGCACAGCTCAGGGCGGGCAGCAGTGGGGAGCTGCCAGGATAAACGAACGGTTTTAGTTTGATCCTTTAATACGTGTCAATTTGGCCATTAAAGACAATTGATTTTGATTCCCTGTTAGACCCCACAGGATGCCAAGTGCATTCGACGCTCAAGCTTCACGCAAACACCCATTGGCGGTTCTGCTGATGATGCACTAAGTGTGCTCCTTAAAGTGGGGTCCCTGGTCAGCAGCATCAGAACCTCCTGCTAACCATTTAGAAATGCAAATTCTCAAGCCTAACCCCCCAGACCTGCAGAATCAGAAACTGCAGGGATAGGGCCCAGTAATCTGCCTGCTCACCAGCCGGGCAAGTCACTGGATGCTCACTCATGTGTGAGAATCACTGCTCCATAGCATTAAGGAGGTAGCACTAATTGAATTCTTTTTTTCACATGGAAAACACTGGCTTTAAATTGTCTTTCTTTCTTTTTTCTTAAAAAAATATTTTTTTTTTACCTCATTTCCAAATCTTCATTCTCCTGTGGTACAAATTTGTACAAGGCAACATAGGTGTTCATCTGTAATGGTTCTTTGGAAAGAGATCCCTGGAAGAGAAAATAAAAGACAAATGAGAGAATGAAGGAGGAAAACAGAAAATGAATTAAGTGAATGCAATATAATTCTAGGGTACGGATCATGAGTGTTAAAATATCTAACTATTATTTGAGGCTTTGTTTCAACCGTAGGTTTATCTTCAATTTCTTAGCTAAGTTTGATTTCATTAGAAACCACAACCAATTATGTAGAAATCTGTCAGAAATAACTGCGAATTCTTCAAATAAATTTTTTCTCTGCTACTGTTCACGAAAGGTGACAGGCTTAGCCCCAAGAATGGGAATATTCGCGCTATAGAAATAGGGACATATGAATAGTAAACAACTTCCACTTCCTAAAATTGACTTTTTATCAGTTAGCCTAAAATTTGGTATCTAGCCTATCAAAGGGACTCCGGTATAGTCAGGGGCAATTAGTTCAAGCATGTTGTGAAAAAAGCATAGTTTTTGACATCAGACCGATTTAGTTTCTATCAAAGAAGCACCATCTCCTGACCATGAAACCTTGCAATAATGGTAATAAAAGCTACCATTTTTGATAGCTTACTGTGTGTGCCAGGCATTATGGTACATGCATTAGCACACTTGAACCTCACAACAGCCCCCCATTGTTGTCCTCAATTTATAGGTTATCCAAGAGTCTTATAAGTGTTATATAAATATTACCCATTATTATTATCCAAATATATGTCAATGCTATATAAATGTTTTCACTTTGTAATATATAATAAACACAAATTATATAATATACAAAATGTATAATATTACTATTTTATAATACACAATATAACATAAGCAATATATACACATATCACTATTTAACACGTTATATATGTGTATGTAAAATTATATATACAACGTATAATTGTATAATATATTTAAATACATAATAATATGGATAAACATATACTATGTAAGACATAAAGAAAAGTTGTGAACAACTATGACTCACTCTGTTATCCAAAGCCCAAGTACCTTATGTTATATACTTCTGTCCCAGTCTATCTTGTTCTAATTATATAGATAGGTATTTATAATTATATAATATTATATATAAATGAGCATAAAATGTAATAAATATATACCTACATACTATAACATATGGTCATAATAGATTGTGTAATTATGTAATTTACACACCTTACATTATATATCAATTTGTATATAACATATACAATGGTAACAAAAAGTATACAACACAATACTTGTCCTTCTTACCTTTGATGCACTGTGATAGTTCTGTTTAGCGACATCTATCGGTTTTATGCTATCTATGCTATGGCACGTTATGCTACATTATTCTTTTCTGTTCTGTTCTACACTCTATTCTGTTCTAGCACCTACTAACTTGATTTCACAACCCACTTAGGTAGTGACCTGCAGTGTGATCTAAGGACCTTGCCTGGTCTGTCTTCTGCGACATCTGTGACAATTAATAGAGGGAATTCTCACTAAAATGGAGTCAGGAGGTTGGGCAGGGGGAGCTCTTACGCCCTATTACTCGTAGTAGTCAGTTTAGACCTTGCTCTGGACACTACGTCAGCTACTACTTTACTATCCCAGCAGGAGGAGGGAAGGAAAACGGCTCAGCCAATGAAAATCCACTATATTTAGCGTGCCTAGTTTCCTCCAATGGACTTTTTGTTTATAATAGTCTCCCCAATTATTCCCCTCTTCTCTATAAAACAGCTTTTCCCTTCTTTGCTTGGTGGGATTGCCTATGGTTTTGCCTTAGCTTACTTGTCTTGCATTGACATTTTCTGCTGTTTCTGAATAAACCTGTATTTTGCTGGTAAAACAATTTTTTAAGGTTAACACAGCGATAAATACCTGGTGGTTTATGTTCTTTGCTTGGTGTCTGAAATCGTCAGTGCCATTTTCTGGATAAGTAAAAACTGAAGGAGACAAGAAAAAGCAGGTGCTTTATGAATCCAGTCACCATGTTTTGGAATCATGCCTGGAAGATGTGGCTTTATGTATTCCCTGTTCCCTAGCTTCTACTCTCCTCCTCACTGCCTTTTCCTCATCTTAGTGACACAGCTTTCATGTCATCTTCCACGTGAGGCTTCCCCTGCGCCCCCAGGTGGCATTCCGCACCACCTCCTCTGCATGCCCACACCCATGTCCATGCCTCCAGCGAGCATGCATCCTCCTGAATACTTGGCAATTGTGTTCACAACTTGGCCTTATTTGGCAGCGCATTTCCTTCATCTTTGAAACAATGTTATTCATCTGTTGAATGTATCAAATCATTTGTTAATGGAACAGTGAGTGAGGGATGGCCAAATTGTATTTGAATGACCTTTTCTAAATACCAGATTCTTTTATCTATTTTCAATATCTTGATTCCAGTTTCTTGATATCTATATTCTATTTTGCACATTAAATTTATTTACTTATGCACATTTATTTATTTGAGAGGGGGGCGGAAAGGTCAGAGGAAGAGGGAAAGAGAATCTCAAGCAGACTCCCCACTGAGTGCTGAATGCAGAGCCCCATGTGGGGCTTGATCTCACCACCCTGATATCATGACCTATGTCCAAATGGAATGGACTGAGTCACCCAGACACCCCTAAAGCTTTAGTTTTAAACTTCAAAATATTTCCTGGATCACTTATTGTCAATGCATTGGGACTATTATTCACAATAGAAAACAAGTAGTGGTTTCTCATTTAGTTTGTTTTGAAATATGTAATTCTTTTCCTTTTGCATTTAAGCAGCCACTCTGTGGTCTTTAATAAAGAACAAAGCTTCCCCAAATGGGCAGGAGTTTTCACTGTCCACATGTACAGCTGGCGGAGATCCCTGATGGGTATTGGGGGGCTCTGCCTTAGCTAGTTCAGTCAGCCACATTCACCCCAGTGACCAACGTGACAGCCTTATTCCCCCCTGCATGTATCTGCCTCAAACAAAAATGTGGCAAGTGTTTCCAAGTGTGTACAATAGAGTTTTGGTGTCTAACCTACCAGCTAGATGACTTGACATTTAAAAAGAACACATTGCTGCTTTCTTCTTCCCTTTGGTCTCCTTTCAGATTATAAGGAAATATCAGTAAAGGAGGAGACACACACCACAGAAAACTCTATAACCTATTTTAGTTACTGCATTGACATCTCCACTGTCCTTAAAATGAACTCAATAACTGTGATGCAGAAAACATGCTTCAGAACAAGAGCCTCTGTAAACGTACTGATGCTCAGTAAACATCTATTCTCCACAGTTTATAGTTCCAGAGCCTGTGCATGAAATTCCATGATTCCTTGGAAGCCTAGGCATAAATATGCAGTCATTGGACGAACTCTGGTTTGTAGGTAAGTGGAAAATGATCCTATGGGCCTTGTCTGCCTCAATATCCAGCTACTCACTTTACTAATTTGAACTGAGTGGAGGCCAATGATACTCTTCTTTGGGATTATGTGATTCCCTAAGAGCTTGGTGTAAATATTTGATCCCATAAGTATATAAAACTGGATACTTCTAAAAGAATATTGAATATCTGCAGGAAAAACGTAGAGACTGTTCCTAGAAAATTCTTGATTGGACTTAAAAAAGGGAGACTTCATAGGCTACATATCAGTTTGAACTGATTTTACAATTTTGCAATTTCACATTTTAAGCTTTTTATTGAATATCCATTAGCCATCTGGTTCAAAATATGTACCAGTTTTGTGAACTATGCCGAAAATTATTTGAAGTGACTCCAAATGTATTTTTAACTATATGACTGAAAGCAGACCACTGCAAAAAAAAAAAAAAAAGATTTAAAAACCCATTCCTATGGGCTATTTCTAAGACTTTGATTTGAGGGAAAAAGAATAAAGAAAGGTAACTATTTTACTACAAATATATACTTTTTCTGCTTGGTGCTTTAAATTTGTTTTATTAAAAATTATTAGGTTGCTGATTTCACCCAGGACAAGTACTCAGAGAATATATCCATTATGCAGACATATTTTCTAATGTTACGGAAGCAAATGAAGCTTTAGTTTCTGCCACATCCTCAAAGGACTTTCTTCTTTTCCTTTTTCATATTCTTTTTCACTTTGTAGTGCTGTGAAGACCATGTCCACCACTTCATTTTCTAATGAGATGGTTATCTGGTTTTTCTTCTTCAAGCTGGTAATGTACAAGTTATGTTACTTGCTTATCTAATACAAACACATATGTGCATCCCTGGAATAAATCTAACTCGGTTAATTCTGCATTACTTTTAAAAAATAATTATCGGGGGCACCTGGGTGGCTCAGTAGGTTAGGTGCTTTTGGCTCAGGTCATGATCCCAGAGTTCCAGGATTGAGCCCCGCATTGGGCTCCCCCCTCAACGTGGCATCTGCTTCTCCCTGTGCCCCTCCCCCAGCTAATGGTCTCTCTCTCTCAAATAAATAAAATCTTTAAAAAAATTATTGGATTCAGTTTACTAAGATTCTGTTTCAGATTTCTGCATCCATATTCAGGATGGAGACTAGCCAGTGATTTTCCTTTCTCAAGCTGCCTTCAATTGGTTTTGAGGTCACAGACTAGCCTGATAAACTAAGTTAAAGAATATAGCAGCCGTTCTTCCCTGCAACTTTTTCATTTTCCTGAAAGAGCTTACGTAATCTGGAAAATTTCCATTCCTTAAATATTTGGTTGAGTTTACTTTTAAAGTTGTCTGGGCCTGGTATTTTCGCTGTGCAAAATTTAAAATATTGACTCATTTTCTATTATGACTAGAAGCAAATTTAAGTTCTCAGATCTTCTATTTCTTCCTGAGTCAGATTTTGGTCATTGATCTTTTTCTTGGTATGTGTCCATTCAAAAAGGTTTTAAAATTTATTGGCATGAAATTGGTCATAGGATTCTTTTATTTTCCTTTCAATCTCCGTCATAGTCATCCCTTTTCATTATTGCCTTTCGCTTCATCTCTTTTATTCTTAAAAACATTGTTAGTGATTGTAGGGATGCCCGGGTGGCTCAGTTGCTTAAGCAACCCGACTCTTGAATTCAGCCCAAGTCATGATCTCAGAGTCATGAGACTGAGCCCCTTGTTGGGTTCTGTGCTGGGTGTGGAGTCTGCTTAAGATTCTCTCTCTCTCCCGGGGTGCCTGGGTGGCTCAGTCATTAAGCATCTGCTTTCGGTTCAGGTCATGATCCCAGGGTCCTGGGATCAAACCCGTATCAGACTCCCTGTTCAGGGGGAAGCTTGCTTCTCCCACTCTCACTCCCCCTGCTTGTGTTCCCTCTCTTGCTGTGTTTCTCTCTGTCAAATAAATAAATAAAATCTTAAAAAAAAAAACTTAAAAAAAAAAAAGATTCTCTCTCTTCTAGCTCGTGCTCTCTCTCTCTCAAAAAAAAATTCTTAGTGATTTTGAGTTTTATTTCTTTTTTTTAAAGATTATTTATGAAAGAGAGAGAACATTCATGTGAGCGGGGGAGGGCAGAGGGGGAGGGAGTCTTCAAGCAGACTCTGCACTGAGTGTGGAGCCTGACGTGGGGCTTGATCTCAGGACTCTGAGATCATGACCTTTTTATTGCTTTCCTACTGCTTTTTGGGGACTTATTCTATTTGTCTTTTTTGACTTCTCAAATATGATGCTTAGGTTATTACTTTTTGGGCTTTTTATTTTTTAATAGAATACTTTTATTTATTTTTTAAAGATTTTATTTGTTTATTTGAGAGAGAGTGAGCACATGAGCAGGGGAAGGGGCAGAGGGAGAGGGAGAAGCAGACTCCTGGCTCAGTGGGAAGCCTGAGGCGGGGCTTGATCCCAGGACCCCAAGATCATGACCTAAGCCAAAGTCAGATGCTCAACTGACTGAGCCACCCAGGTGCCCATAGAATACTTTTAAAGCAAAATATTCTAGTCTCAATTTAGCTACATCGCACAAATTTTGATCTGTAGTGTTTTCATTATGACTTAAGTATATTCCAATTTTCATTATAAATTCTTTTTTGACACATGAACTTTTTGAATGTATGTTTTAATTTTCGAAATGATGGGTTCTCCTATATCTTTTGGTGATTGGTTTCTATCTTATTTGCATTATAGTTAGAAAGGTGTGTTCTCTATAATATTAATTCTGTGGAAATTTATGAAGCTTTTTTTATGGTCTAGCAGGTGATCAATTTTTATAATTGTTCCGTGTCCTTAAAAAGAATGTGAATTCTCCATTTGTTAGATGGAGTGACCTTTTTAAGTCAATTAGACTAGGATTGTCAAATGTGTCCTCAGATTCTCTAAATACTGAATCATTTTATACATCTGCTTTGCCAATGACTTGAGAGGCATGTTAAAACCTCTCACTGTGAAGGGGAATGTCAATTTCCCTAATGCCTCTATTAATTGCTCCTTGAGTTCCTGTCACTTTGGGGCTATATACGTAGACACGAGTTTAGAATTTATATCTTCTGATGAAGTGGACATGATCATATAATGATGCTTTTTTTCCCCCTAGTAATGCTTTTCTGATTTTAATGCCTATTTTTTATACATTAATACAGCTACACAATCTATCTTTTGCCTTTTAAAATATATGTATTTTTTTTACTTTTAAACTTTTTATATCCTCATGTTTTAGACTGTTATAAGTAGTCATTTAAACAATCCAGTGTGTAAAGCTCTTTTATCTAGGGCTTAGTTAATTTACATTGATTTTGATTACTGATAAATTCAGATTCTCTTCTAGCATTTTATTTTGTATTTTCTATTTGTCTCAAATTTTCTATGCTTTTTCTTCTACTTCTGTGCCCTCTCCCCTTTCTTCTTTTTAGGTTATATGGCTCAAGCTATTTTTTTAATCTTCTAGTGGTTAGTATAAAAATTTTATGAGTTATATTTAACTTAACAAAATCTAAAGTGAAAGAATATCTTTAATTTCCTTCTAGTTAATATGAAAATCTTTGAATGCCCATTTC